TTTCAAGATTCAAACTTACATTTTATCACTCAGCAGTTATAATTCTTGTTCCAAAATACTCACCCATCCTCAATTTGTATAATCACAATTATTTACGATTGCGTCTTAAAAATCCATCCTATCCAGTTTCTTCCTCTTTAACAGGTATCTTAGTATATTCTATTTTTTTCTTCTTAAACTTCAAACCCTGCTGTGGACTTCACATATGAAAAATTATTTTTTAAATATAGAAAAAGTTTATAGTCCTCCTTGAAAGATTCTAAATGTGTCTCTTATCAGAGCCGTCAGTTTTGCCATCTCTGCATATTCCATGATTTTTATCAGCCATTCTTCCTTTGAGGGTATTCTTTCCTCCTTCCACTTCCGTGCATAAAGATCCCTTGCTGCTGTGGTTAGGTACATACATAAATACAGCTGAAGCTTCCTTTGGAAGCGCACCTTCGGTTCTCGTGTTAACATGTGAATGACAAGGCCAACTGAGAACAGCTGGATTGCGAACGATTATTCTAGCAATCCAAACACTGCTCTCCAATCTGGATTAACAAAATCTGCAAGAGATCTGGAATGCTAAAGTTTTCAGGGTAGGATGAAGAATCTTCACACTGACGGGGGGCCGGGAATAAGTTTTTGAGCCTACAATGGAACCTCTGCTCCCAAACAAACGAAAACCAGAAGTAATTGTTCAGGTTTTTGGATGTTCTTTGGAAGCCGAATGCCTGGCTTCTGATTGGCTACAAAAAGCTGCTGCTGCAGCCAATCAGAAGCTGTGCCATGGTTCCTGAACTGTTTCGGGAATCAAACAGACTCCTGGAATGGATTAAGTTCGGGAACCAAGGTTCCACTGTATATGGAACTGGCATAAAAGGACACCAGAGGGAAGAACCAAGCAAAGCCCTATCACTTAAAGGCATCCCAATTAACCAGCATTACCATCCCCATTAAGCAACAGCAGTTGCTCTTAAATATCTCTGGGCTTTTATGTAGTTTCTTGGGAGATGTCCCAATTAAGTGGGTTTTACTGATTAAACACTTCCTGAGTAATTGAAGTGTACTTAAATCATTCAAATTAATAACTCATCTGAAAGAAATCAACTTATACACAGATGGAAACCCCTTTCTCCAAAACACACAAATGCACACACTTTGGGAGAAGAACTCTTGCAAGCATTCTAAGGGAGCAGCTGATAAACATGGCATTCAAAGACCAACATGTCCACTGGCATAAAGTGTGGGATCGTTTGGGGGCTACTTGAGTCTTAAATCAACCCGCCGTCAGCAGCGAAATGTCAGTTCTGCATCTCCCGTGAAGGGAACCTAGATAGTGTGATAAGCCATTGTTATGCAACAGCATTGCATTCCAGATGAGGCAGAGAATTAACGCCTTGGCACTTGTCACCGCTCAGAATGGTTAAGAGCCAACGCACATTTGCCTAAAAGGGTTTTTCCATCTCCAACATTAAATTGCCCATCTTGGCACCGAGCCTCTCCCAGAAGATGTGCTGTATACTGGGGCATATCTAATATTTGTATAAGAACCCAAAAGCCTGCTTACATGTTGTTGTTGTTATTATTTTTCTCGTTTGCTTATTTTTGCAAACCAGAACCGTCCTAAATTATGCTGTCTTTAGAATAAAACGTTCAATTTCCTCCCACCGCCAGCATAATTAAACGAAAGGCCTAAGTTCTACTATGTGGTACTGTGCTCTATAATTTATGAATATCGTAATTAACTTCAGAAATTTCAGTTTTGCTGGGTTTTATTTGCCTGGAGGCATTGGCTGCAGTGCTATCCACAGGACTTCTATAAGCTCAGGAGGGGTTCCGAGGCCTTCCTTTCAGAAAGCTGGTTGTTGTCCTGCTATTAAGGACGAAATTGAATTTTGTGTTTATTTTACTAAGAAATCCACATATTTTAATCCACATATTTTGAACCAATGTGTGAACCAAACACAGCTATCCTTCGAAAAGCACGCTTGTCTGAATTTTGTGAGGCAGTTCGACAACCAAACAATAAATATTGATATTCTATTCTATTCTAAAAAATGCATATAGCAGTGAAAACAACGCATTAAAAGGCAGTATAATAAGAACTGCTTGCAAAAATGTGTACGTTTTTCAAAACTGCATACAAAAAAACGTGTTTATTGGGAATAATTCACACTAAAATGCTGATGAACGTTCATGAGGATTTTTTTTTAAAAAAAAACAAAACCTTGTGGAAATGTGGGGAACTGAATTTAAGATTGGAAAAGGAGAAATTTAGAGGACTATAATGGATGGACAGGTTTGACATTTAGCCTGTTAAATGGAGAGAGGTGGAAAGGTTCATTCAAGCAGTCCTACTTCATCCTATTTTGTTCCCTAGTGGAGAATTGCAAAGATCTTACTGCAGAGACCGCCCACTCAGTATTGGTTGTTGTGGGGAGAAGCTAAGCTTGCTCTCCCTTCTCCCCACTATACACCCTGCTGGGTAGACAGACTTGTCAGAGATGACTGTGCCTCTCCCCCCAGCAAGGGTGCCATTGGACTTTCAGGCAGACGTTCAGGGCCATACTCAGCAGAATTAATAGGAGCTCTTCCCCTTGATTCCAGAGACTAAAATTACCAAACTGCATCACTGCACACATATACACCCCACCAAATATTCCTCATTTGAATAAACCCATTCATTTATTTTATTTTTTTAAAAAACCTTTTGTTTGGTGAAAAGGTAAACAAACTGAGTGATCTATCTATTTGTTACACAATTCATTGCTGAATATATCTCCATATAGAAAGAGATGCATCTTGAATCTGGTTTAAATGATCAAAGCCAAACTGTTTATCTAGTTTCTAATGAATAGAAAATAAAATGATGTAGCATGAAGCCTAAGGCCACACCCTGCTAACATTTGCAAATAAAACCGGCACTGAATTGTAATCAGAGATTCACAGGAAATGCTTGAAAAAATGGGATTGGTGTTCTGCCCCCCCCCCGCCCCAGTCTCCAAATGTCTACTAAAAGTAAAATAAAATAAAATGGCTGGCCTTCTTTGGATCATCCGTCACTACCCCTAGAGCACCTAGCACATTCTGATAATTATTATTGTTGTTATTCTCATTATTATCAGTGTGATCCAAGCCTAGTATTGTTTCATATTTTGTGTGTGTGTGCATGTGTCTAATATATATGGGGGGAAATGTTGTTGAGTAACAGTAAACGATTAGCCTGTTGATATTCTTTTGCAACTGAAAAATCAAATTGTTTTCGTAGAAAACATGTGCTCGAGTCAAGGGGTTGAGAAGACTGGGATAGGGAACTACTTAGGGAAAATAATATTGTGATTATAATATTACTTTGGAATGCAGGATAGTGCCAGAGGTCAACCGTGTTGCCCTTGTGTGGTATTATTTCTGAATAGCTATCCTGTTTATTGTCAGTTTCAGACTGAAAAGAAAGTCGGGTTGTGGAAGAGTGCCCTGGTTAAGCAAAAAAATTAAAACATGTACATGAGAAAGAGAGCAAAGTCTGAACCACATCCATTAAACAATATCGCAAGAGTTTCTTTTAAAACAAAAGTACAAGGCGGGGGTTTCTCGTTCCCAGAATTCAGTGTTTCTAAACCCTGTTTCTTTGGAAGCATAAATTGGGATGAGGATGAAGTTTGAGAACAAAACGGCATTTCGAGACTTTGTTCATTTCATATTTATCACTAGCTTGTTTGCTAATTTTCATTTGCAAGAGGCAATTCTTCCAGCTAACTGGCTGCCTCAATGGGCCACTGATTTCTTTGAAGTGACAGTCTGTAAATATGCATAAAAAAGAGATGCAATTAGCGCGTGTGTGGTTCAGTGCAGTCTGATTTCATTGGCAAGTTTACCCACAGTGTTGATAAGCTACATTATCTAGAAAATTGGCCGCTGAAAAACAGCACCTCTGATTGCCAGCAAAGGTTCCAGATAACAGGGTGCTGAAGAGAAATATAATTGAGGTTGAATATGTTAACCAAGGTGTCACATGTTCCTTAGAAGCACTAATTTATCAGCATGTTGGAATTTTTATTAACATTTGGAATGCATTTCTACCACACTAATGAAGTGGAATTGGCAGCTCAGGTTTTAGTTATTGTCATTTCTGAGAAGTTAAATGTAATTTCTTGTTAGGCCCAGTTATGTAAATATATTTATACAGGGACTGGGGGGGGGGAGAGAGAATTATAACATTTCTCAAAATACAAATATGTTGCTAAGGAGGAGGGTGACAAATCAGTTATTGTTAAAGCCCTAAACACCCACCAAATGTTTATGGAGTGCTGTGGATTCTTTGGCTCTCATTCATATATTTTTGGGGGATATATATATATATATATATATATATATATATAATGTGCAAACATTCCCTGATAAATTCTCTGTCATATTGCAGAGAAGGTGTCTAAGCTGGAAGATATTAGGAACCAGTTCCTTCAAGCTTTTTACTAACTGACATTTTATTTTCGGGAAAAGTCCTAGTGAAGGTGAACTTTTATTTTAAAATTAGAAAAGAAAGAAAGAATGGTTATGCCTTCCTCTTGAAATGATAGCACGTGAACCGCCTGCATTCACTGAACATATTGTAGACCCGCTTTTGCAGTGTCTCCTAATGAATAGAATAATTGCTATGTCCAGTTCCAAAAAATCTATTTGTAGGTAAACGCTCGCAAGTCACTTTCAATTTAGATGATGTGATTGTTTGTGAGGCAAATCTTTCAATTGGGACGTTATGCTAAATAATGTATCGCTAATGTGGAAATAAATGAAGGAGACAATGATGATACATAAAAACTATATTAGAAAGACATTTAACGGGAATCATGTTTGAAGTTTCTGGTGGCTTTTAGCCAGGGAGGTTTGGAATCTTTCTCATCCTTCGTTTGAAAAGTACCCCCAGGGCTATTTTTGTATTGTTGCCATTTTGTGCTGCAAAAGAAAGAAAGAAAGAAGCCATAACAAGCCGGTTTGTGTCTTATATGTTTATACAGGGGAATTGTCGAAACACCGCTCATCCATTCTGAGGAGCTGAAACCTCTTGTGCAGTGCTGGCTCACGGACATCCCAGCCGGAAGGCTGGCTCGAGTGACAGACTTGCAAGCTGCCGTCGTATACTTGGCATCTGAAGCTTCAGATTATATGACTGGCCACAACTTAGTCATTGAAGGAGGGCAAAGCTTATGGTAGAAAAGGAATGGAAACGCTCTTTCAATGCATACAGAGGAATGACAGGCACACAGGAAAGACTCCCCTGATCACATTGCAGTTCTGCACGAGTTACGAGTTATCAGCTTCTCTCTTGACATTGTCCATTAATTCCTTCCTCCAAAAAATAGAGCTTTTAATTTCCAAACTGCTATTTTAGACCCAATCTACAGCAGCTCTTGTCTTAACAAAAGTCAGCATGTAGAGGTTTGCTTATTTAAAAAAAAGAATCTGCCCTAGACTGAATGCTATACTAATACACACACACACACACACACACTGATTTTCCCTCTATCGACACATTCAGTTCAGTAGAGTAAACAGATTGCCACTATGCAAATAATTTTGTACTGAAAAAAATAAAAATAAAGTAGGATCCTATATTTTAGCCAATAGAGAAGACATCCTGTTGCCAGCTTGAATGTTGTGTTTGAATCTTTGCTAAATTACTGCTTCAATTAATCAAGAAAATTTGTTGATACTTCTACTGCAGCTGTAATGTCAAATATAGGGGGGGGATTGCACAGGGGGTGGGAAGAGAAATGCTTGAAATGCTAAGTTATTCTTGCAGCAGGATTTTGTCTTGAGAAAGTAAACTGAGGATTGACAGCCAATGTTTGTCGGTTTGTGTTGTAGGCCCCCCCCCCAGCTTTAAATGGAAATGATTCCAGCAATTGCTCTAAAAGGTGTTGGGATTGCATTCTGCATTGCAAAATTAAAATCACTTTATCTAATTCATTTTTGATATTGTCGTTTGTTATTTGCTCTGGTGGTGTTCCATGCTCAGACCACATTTTGTAAGCAGTGGCACGCTTTCCCTTGCACCATAATGCAGAGATAGGCAGTGGAAGAACTGTGGGCTGTCTTCTGTCTTCTTGCCCAGGGTTGACCTGCATCCCATTTTAAAAAACGCTGCACAAAGTTTGCATTTTAAATACACATTTTTAAACATAGTGTCTCTCAAAACACACATTTTAAAGTGTAGCTCTGATTTTTGCAGGTGTGCTGAGAACTGCAGCAAAATATTTAGGAAGGCTGATAGCTGGGGGATAAACTAATTTCTAGTCCGGATTTCAGTCCAGGAAGTGAGGATGAGAACGATTGCATTGCAAGGTCGAATTCCGCAAGCATCCTTACTTGTGATGCACCTGTAGGCTGGCAACAGCTCTTGAAATGGTGGGGAAAGCTGTCCATCTGCAGGGCACAGTGGCCCTTCCATTGCCTTTTACTGCTATAAATGTGGAGTTTATATTTTCTTAGCATAATCTGACAAATCTATGGATGCAGTCCTATGCAAACACCAACATTCATCTGGGATACTAATTTTTGCTCTCGGCAAATGCTGATATGGAGGGGGGCAAATGAGCTGTATTCTTAGCCTAATTTCCCACCCACCTTCATGGCTTTCTACTGCCCATCACAAGCTGAGTTGGCTGTTCTTCCTTCCCTGACCCGTTTCTTCTTCCAAACATTACAGTGTGGCCTCTGGAGTCAACAACCTCTTAGCAATTCTTCAAGTGGAACCATTAAAAACTTAAAGCTTTTTCATTGTTTTTCTGGGCTCACGAAACATTTTTCTGTGAGCCCCATACACTTCCATCAAATTGTGTCATGCTTTGGAAAACTTGGTTTGATTCTCACATGACTGTGGCTGGCCTTTCATCCCAAGGTTAATGTACAAACAGGAGTGAACTCATCAGGAGTTCTTCCAACTAATTCTAGGGGGACTTGTATACTGTGGCTGGACCTCTTGTGAACAGCTTGTTTTAGACCCTACCTAAGAGGGAAAAATAACAAACTTCAGCTAATTTGAAACATAAGCCACCATTTGCAATTGGCATAATAATACTAAGAAGAAGAAAAAGCCTTACTTTTCTTCCAGACCTAGTGGAAAGACTATGGAGTAAGCAGACTGCGAACCAACCTTTTATGTCCAATAATGACTTCTCCGACTTTCAAACTGGAAACATCTGGGGCAAAATTATGATATGAATCACATTGTAGTCATAAGACCATATAATTTAGTCCTTCTGTTCAAATCAATGGTGCTTCTCCCTTCCTCCACCAACAATATTGTTTGAGTATATACTTCTTCATAGTAATGGCGGGTAAAGTGGTATTGGTTAGTAATCTTTTGGACTAGCTCCTTGAGCTATAAATATGCCAACAGGTCTGTAACACCACAGCATTTTCTGAACTAAGTAGAAACGATCGTACTGCAGTCTACAAGGGGCTTCCAAATCCCCAAATCGTGGCTTATAGATCATAAACCTTGGTGTAAAGGATCAACCTCATGGGTACAGGAGAGGGGCATACCCTCACCAATATGTCAGAGTAGCCTGGAAAATAATCAGTTCTTGTAATGGAGGGATGTACGAAGCAGGGTTCTCCAAAGCTCTGCACTGGGATTGATTCCTTTTGGACTGGTGTTAATAATATGGAGTTATTGCTGATGACACCAAGTTGTTCCAAAAAAATAATAATCCCCAAACCAGGCATTAAAATGTTAAAGGTGGTTCATTGTAATCAAGCATTGGGGAGGGAGTAGAATTCCTTTCTTCACATACCACAACCACAACTACTTATTTAAGAAGGCTAAAGGGGCATTGCTTTGGCGGGGGGATTTTCCCTTTGTCCCTTCACAGTAAATGCTGTCATCTAGCACCAAGGGTTGAGCCAGCATCTCGCTATTTAATTCTACTCTCTGCTTACTGTTCTTTAACCAGCTACCAGTCCTTTGCAGGATTTGTCCACTTACTCCACAGATATCTGATGTAAGTTTTCCCCGACCCCTGTCCAAGTCATTTGAGATCAGTGTTTTAGGGATGTCACATGAATTCACTTGCAAAAGTGAGCGCTCTTGTTCAACTGGATGCGAGCAAGAGTGAGATGATTGAAGCTCAGGGTCCTGGGAGGGCCTGCCTCCTCTTCCACAACGACCTTTACCCTTCCTAGTCCCCAGAGCAAGCTAAAATAATACAACAGTCAATAGCAGCAGGCAAAACAACAGAAACAAAACAGTTCAATTCAGTGTTAAAGGTGTCATGGGAAATAAAGAACCCTTTGCCTGGCACTGAAAAGACATCTATATAGGTGCCAGGTGAGCGGTCCCAGAAGGAATATCAGAAGCTGGGTGTCACAACCAAGAAGTTTCTGTCTCAGTCACCACCCTAAGGCTGGATGGTGCTGGAACTCACCACGAACCCTTGTTCTCTTATAATGGCAATGGTGCCCACCAGAGAGGTGCCAGGACTGAATTCCAGCTGGGAAAAAAGCCCTGCTTTAGTGGGATGCCAGCAAAATTTACACATCGCGTTGATACAAGAAGAATCAATCTAAGGCCGCAAAAATGCCACCAAAAAGTGAGCAAGTTTTTGAGTTCATCAGAGCTCTTCGCCAAGTTGGTTGTCCAGTAAAACTGAGAGGGGATGTGGTAAAATGTAAAGGATTGCCTTACTCTGGGTTGCTGAAAGGAAATTACTTGATTACAGATATCAGGATGCCTACATGACAGATTCATCCGTATTTCACGGTTTGTTTGTTTTTACGAATCTACAAGACAAAGCAATACTCTGACCAGAGTTTCTGTTTTTGCCAATTTTAAAATCTGAATTCATGTATTAACCGAAATGCTACAGGATTTTCCAAATATTACCTCTAGGGGGAAACCTCAACCTGTCTATGTTCATGTCAACTTGCTTTCTGGTTTTATCTATTCAACTTTTTTTTTATATTGTATCTAAGTTCATACTTTTGATATTTCTAATTTTTTTTTTTAGCATTTATGTAGAACACCACATAATTGCAGAAAAGATAATAGTCACATACCCTAGGGTCTAGTGTACACTTATGTTAAAAGTACAGCTTTTATTGGCAACTAAAGTAATAACCTTTCCATGTCAAATTGCTTTAAATTAAACTTTTAAAAAAATACTGCCTGATACCCACATTTAGTAATTGTCAAACATTAGCATAACATCAAATCCTAATGCTGCCTAAATCTTAGGTTTAAAAATAATTATTTACTTAGGTAAATTCTGTATTCAGAAGCATAACATTAGATTTAAGGGTAGGGGGTAGGGGGGAAAGCAACCTCCTTGCATATGTAAAGAGCTGTATCCGTAAACTTGACATGAAAGTGGGATTTGAACTTACGCCTGCCTTAGAGAGAGAAAAGGAGGATATTTGCTTCATACCCAGATCATCCATCCATCAATGGCCACATTTAAAAACAAGTGTCAAGCTGACACCTTAGATGGCAGTCAGCATCCTGGGTGATGTTCTGTGATCCAGGACTCCTATCCCTTGTGCTAAGCGGGCACGCAAGCACAATTTCCAGCCATTTTAGACACACTGAGATCTGGTGTGGATATACGTGTGTGCAAACCTGAGGGGAAATGGGCCAAGCCAATGTTTAATATGGATAAATTCCACTTCTCTTGTTTTAGCTCGTTCCGTAAGAATAAGAGAGTAACCTCTTTAAGATCGCAGCAGAGAAGGGAATGGGCAGAAGGAGGCCTTTGGCAGGGTGTACACAGCATTAGGGCCTGTTTGGCATCTGAAGGGAAAATCTAAAACGATTCCACCACAGTCCTTCCCCAGTAATGGAGATACGAGGCCAGATGACCTCTTCTCACTCAAGCAACATCATGAAGGAATGTCAGCCTGTAATGGTACTTTTGGAACACACACACACACACACACACACACACACACACACACTTCCACGAAGGACCTTTGCTGCTTCCAACATATCTGTTTCCTCCTTCAATTTGGAAGCCCTTTCCGTTAGCCCCTGATGTTTGAAGAGTTTGTGCAAATGGAGCTCTTGTTCCCATCCCACATAAAAGGCTTCTCAGTGACTGGGTGGTGCTGGTGGTGAGGAATCCTGAAGGGAGCAAGAGATCAGCGAGAAGGAAAAGGTAAAAGGTAAAGGACCCCTGGATGGTGAAGTCCAGTCAAAGGTGACCATAGGGTTGCGGCGCTCATCTCGCTTTCAGGCCGAGGGAGCCAGCGTTTGTCCACAGACAGCTTTCAGGGTCATGTGGCCAGCATGACTAAATCGCTTCTGCCGCAATAGAACACTGTGATGGAAACCAGAGAGCACGGAAATGCTGTTTACCTTCCTGCTGCAGTGATTCCTATTTATCTACTTGCACTTGCATGCTTTCAAACTGCTAGGTTGGCAGGAGCTGGGACAGAGCAGTGGGAGCTCACCATGTCGCATGGATTCGAACCGCTGACCTTCTGATTGGCAAGCCCAAGAGGCTCAGTGGTTTAGACCAAAGCACCAACCACGTCCCTTTACAGAAAGGCAGGCCTTAATTTGCATCAGGGCTCAGACTTGGCCATTGCTTTCAATGCCAAGGTATTGAACTGTATGGGCAATAATACCCCAATCAAGTGCACAGGTCATTTCCCTTATGACTGATTGTGTCTCTAGCTACGTCTGTGAAAAGCTTCTGCATGAAACCCTGGAGAACCACTGCCAGTCAGAGAAGACAATACTGAGCTATATGAGACAATGGTCTGACTCCATGTAAGGCTGGCCGGGGTTCAAGCAGAAGCTTGAAAGAAACTGGAGACAGATGCTTTGCCACTGAACTATGTGAAGTTAAGTACTCACTTCTGTGTCCCTTTTCTGAGCGATACTTGCCACCATCAAACTGGCAATCACAGACAGCTCAAAACAGTGCCAGCTCCAGGACTCAGACAGAGTGCAACCTGTGGACTA